GACTGTCCCCAAGGGCAACCACGTAGCCGTTTTTGAGACAAGGATAACTCTATCACTAACCAAACCAGTGGTAGCAGTTGACATCTGAGTCAGATGACCGCCTGTATTACTTGGGATAAATACAGGGGGTACCTATTGAGTTAATAGCCAACAAACATTGGCGAATCAAGGGGTCTAGCCGGCCTACGCCGCCTGGTACCTCTACTTCTCAAACAAAAGTGACGGCGACTGAGTAACTCCAACGTTAACTCATAGTCACTCCTTCAAATTTGGTATGGAACCTAAAAGGTTTGAGTCGTCCGCCTGTTTTTAACAAACAAGGGCACTCAAACCCCTATTCCTAATAGGTAACCTATTGAGTTAATAGCCAACAAACATTGGCAAATCAAGAGGATCAGCCGGCCTCCGCCGCCTGGTACCTCTACTATTCAATCTAGAGTGTGACGAAGACTAAGTAACTCCTATGTTAAGTTAATAGTCACTCAAACTTAGTATGGAGCCTAAAAGGTATGAGTCGTCCGCCTGTTTTTAACAAACAGGGACTCTCAACCACTACTCTTGCTAGGTTAACAAATTATGAGTTAAAAGCCAACATTGGCAATAAAGGGAAACAACCGGTACCCGCCGCTTGTTATCCTACTTACTTAATTCCTTGGCGACTAGGTAATATTCTATTTACTTGGTCAGACCACTTTCCTACTTGGTTAAAATTACAAAAAGACAGGCACGCCTGCCTAAAAAGGATCCAGACAAAATAGTTCTAATACCGATTGAATAAATGGCCGACTGATCGTCTATCCTGGAAACAGACAACCAGTCGTCCAGGGGCATAGGCGGCGTACTAACTATCCGTACCTGTCTGCAACGTTCGGCCATGTACAACAGTCGGTCTAGTAAACAATGGGATATTAGATATGGAATACTTGGACAAATTTGAAGCAAAACAAAAATTCATTAAAAATAAGCCGGTCATTAAAGACCAGCAAAATATTCAAAGCCCCGGCCCCCTGGCCGGGTAAAGACAAAGCAAACGGCACGCAGGCCGTGGAAAAAATACATTAAGCTTAAGAAGGGGGCAGTTCAGTATTAGCAGCTGCCGCCTGGTCAGCACTCTTCTTGCTGGACTCGGCTTCAGCTGCATCCTCTTTTGATGCCTTACCCCCAAGTGGCACAAGCGCCACAACCGGCTCTTCCTCCTCCTCCAACGCATCTCCCAACGCCTCTTCTTCAGCAGCCGCCAGGATCTCTTGATTATATGTTTCCGAACACTGGCGGTACGTTCTTTCCCAAGAGGCAAAGTCGGCATTGGGGAACAGGCGGCCCCAGGTCATGCGCTGGATTTGAGCGGAGTCTTCCATCATCTCCCGGACGAGCTCTTTCTTCTCTTGCTCGGCCTTTTCCGAGAGCTCTTGGGTAAGACTCTTCTCTTGGCTCACCAGGCGTTCTTTTACGTTGGCCAAGGATTTCTCCATGGCTTCGTAAGAGTGCATTTTTTGGCGAAGAGGTTTCAGCTCGGCCTTAAGATTTGTGATGGTCGCGCCCAGCTCGTCATTCTTCTTCTGGGCCGCCTCTAACTGAGCCCGAACAGCGGCGGTAGCCTGCGCCTGATAATAAAGAATATCAATGGTCAGTACTTCATTTTGGGCAATTTGAAACATTGCCTTATCACAGTTAGAGGCGGCCATAGCTTTTGCAGCCTTTACCTCTTTGTTTTTCCGATCAAGCGGCTTGCGAAGGCTGTTAACTCGGAGCAGGGCCTAAGTACAAAAAAACAGGCGTCAGTTTCCAAACAAAAAAGATAACAGGCGTCCTGGAACTCAAATACTCAAAAATATGCTAAGTATACCTCAGCAAGGACCCCTGCAATCCCATCAAGGTCAAGGGTGCCGGCACCCCTGACCGCCTCCCTTTCAGATGGAGGAACTACTTTGATCATGGACTTGGCTACCTCAACCAAGTCAAGCCCCTGAGGGCCGGCTGCATCAAGCGTAAAAAAGCAAGTTAGACCTAGTCAAGAAGGAAGCAAGTGTAAAAGTTTTTACAAGTAATTGTCCATACTTCTAGGCGGCCCCGCCGGGGTTTTAGAAGAAGTGGCCGGCTGCTTCTCAGCCGCCACTGTTTTCCTGGAAGACCCAGGAGAGCTTGCAACAGTCGTCCTCCGGGCCTTGGGGTCCGGCTGTTGCGAGGAAGAAGCTCTTGGAGTGCCCGACTGAAAATAAAAAGAGTTAGTATATGCATAAGACAACTCCTAAAAGAGGAAGAGTTTTCGAAGCCTACCAAGGGTGCCCCCTTGTTGGGGGAGTCGGTACAAGACTGTTGCATGAGAGAGGCCCGCAACATGGCCGCCGCAGTCTTGGATGCTGTTATTTTACTCATGGCGTCAGCTGCAAAAAATAAACAGCAAAGTTAGTAAAATCCCAAGTAAACAAAGCGTGAAAAAACAGAGTATTTGACAGGCCGGCTACCTCTAGAGCACCGACTGCTGAGGCCACAGGCGGCCAAAAAGTACTCGTCATAGAGCCACTTGAAGCTCGGGACGCAGTTTAGGGGTACTTGCTCTCGTACCCCTGAAGTAGAGTTCACCCTAGTCTCTACTTTGAAGAGTCCTTTGTCTAGGATCTCTTTTTTAGCCTTTGGGGGAACAGGTGGCATGCTGCGGCCGCCTGCGAGAAGAGGCGGATCCCTATTCCACTTGTTAAAGCGTTGGTTCAGCTCCGTGTCTGAACCCTCGATGATAAGGAAGGTGTTCCGCCAATCCTTCCATTTGTTCGCCTTACCTCTCGTCATGAGGTAACCCCTATGGCTTGTTAATTGATACCAGCCGGTACCTCCCGACTTAGGGGTCCGGCTGAGATAGTTCATGTGGGCGAAAGCCTCAAAGCTTGGCTCCACCCCGTACATTTCGCACCCGGCCACATAGCCGAGTACGTTTACCCAAGAGTTGGGGGCTAACTGCCATAACCCCAAATCATACCCATCTAAAATCCGCTGAACAGCCGGATGTAATGGGAAGCGCAGTCCAGCTTTGATGGCCGCCACATAGCAGCCAAAGCAGCCGTCATCATAGCTGGTACCAGCCGGCCAGACGACAGTGTCTTCTGGATCCGGCACGAACAGTAAAAATTTCGGGCCCATTCTGTGGTTAGCTATAAAGCTCTCCACTTTGTCTTGCATGGTTGCGATCCGGCCCCGGGGTACCGTGCAATAGTAAGGGGTGTTTTCCTCTCTGAAAGAGGCGGACGGTTCCGCCCAATTGTCCCCCTTCTCAACTGCATGAGAAAGCCTCGCCTCTTGTAGGCGGCTGTTTCTTTCTTCTGAGCCTGAAGAACTGTGGCCAGAAGAGCTGGACTCGGACTCGTCCTCTGACGAGTCCGAAGAGGACGACTCCTCCCCTCTCCCAGAGGGGCCCGCCTCCTCTCCCTTAGAAGGAGCAGGAGGAAAATTAGACATATCAACGGTAAAATGGGAAGGGACCACCTTGACCCCTGTCTCAGAACTGTCGGCTTGGCAGTCGCCTCGTTTCACTTCTACATCTGGCGCCTGGTCAGATGTTTCACTAATGAGCACCCTTTGGGAGGAGCCGTCCAAGTTTGAGATCATAGCAGTCTTTTTTGTTCTGGCCATCACGTTCTGCATAGACACAGATACAGTCGGACTTTGTATAAAGGGCAAAGATGGGTCCAGAAAAGGGCAGGCGGCACTCCTAGTCCTAGATTCAGCCGTCCCCGGTGACCGGCTGATCACTAACTTAGGTCGTGTCGTGTGCTTCCGTGGTGCCATTTCAAAAAATAAAAAGAAAATTAAGAGTAAGAGAACTGAGTTACCTGAACGAGTGACGGTTGATGAGGTTCTGGAAATCCGGTGCAGTCGGCTTGTCAGAACAGGCGGTAGGCAGAAAAGGTCCGAAATGTCAGAGCAAGTTCAGGGGTCCGAATGTTCTCGCAAAGTTCTCAAATGTGAAAATGACCAAAGTCAGCACTTCCTTATATAGGCAAAGTGAGAAGGCGAAGGGTCGCTTCCAAATTCAAAATTTGGGCGGGAAAATCTCTCGGCCGTTTGCAAGGTGACACCTGTAGCAGGCCGTCGCCTGTCACCGTGCGACACCTGTCACAGGCGACACGTGACCAGTCACGTGCCACCTGTGAGGGGCAAATGATTAGGGGATTTTTATCCACCAATCACCGTTGGACAAGTGGACCAACCAGGTTCCGCCACGTGTCCTTCACGTAGGCCAATAGGAGCCTGCCACGTGTCAATCACAGATACGTCCTCTACGGACCAATTGAGACACGCCACGTGTCCACCCATGCCAAATGGGAAAACCGGCCAACAAGGCCCAATCCTGTCTAGAGGCCCGGTCAGCCCTAGGTTTACCCTAAACCTAGAGAGTGGCACGCTTCTCAAGACTATAAATACTTAATTAATCCTCATTAAAGGGGATCAAGCAATTAATCTCACCTGAAGAACGGAACAGAACAGAAACGTTACGGAAGACACTAATAACCGGCTAATCTCGCTAACAACGCAGATTACCAACATTAAACACTCTCACCTAGAGAGATCTTATTACTTTAATTTCCGTATTAATTACTCCTTAATCAGGTACTAACTTGACCGTTGGAGGCGGAGCTCTCAGGAGTCTCCGTTATTTTGCAGGTACAGGCGTCCGGTTCCAGTCTCGGAATTGTAACTCTCCCGCAGGACATCAGAAAACCCCGAAACACAATATACATTAATGATCAGTTAGTTTCTGTAATAATTCGGGACATCATCCGGCCCAAAAATTAGGTTGTGATTGGTAATGACGACAAATGTGCCCGTTTAATGTGTAGGCCGCCGTGTAGCGGGTAGGCGATGTACTCCGTAGCATTTACTCCGTAATTTATATCGTTACTCCGTATTCATTAAGACAATGTGCAGGGTGGACCAAGTCAATCTTATTTAATTCCCAATAAATGACTTTTGTTTTATTTATAGTAGCGTTGACCATATATAAACAATTCCCAACGACCTTTCATCACATTTTTCCTACCAACATTCTCTCACACCATCCCCTCTAAAACCGCCCTCTCAGCCTCTTTCTCCGGCCACCTCCGCCGGCGACAGACGGCGGTGATCACGGCGGCGCTTCCTGTTTCCTCTTCATCATTTCCATTTTCCGGTGATTTTCCTTCCTAATTTTCGAAATTAGGGCTCATTTGATTGAATTATGTTGTCATTTTTTAATTTATTAATTGTTCTGCCACACATGCTGATTAATTACAAAATTCCTGCGAAATAATTGTTCTTCTTGATTATTAGTCTAATTAATCTTAAGCTATCAATTAATTATTTAATCAACGAATATGAAAAGATATCTGGACAAAATAATAGTCATAGTCTATCCTTTTACCCAGTTTTTGACGATTAAATTATTATATATTTTGGTATGTTTTTTTTTTATAATCTAACATCTGTTTTTATTGTCTTATTCAATTTTATCTTTTGCAGGCTGCTGAAGAAGTTTTTGTGTTCTTCGTCTAAAATAATTGGCTGAATTTTCAACTGTAAATTCGGGTTCACTTTTGTTTGAAGGTTTGTTTTAATTTATGGTTATGATTAATTTTGATTATTGTTATTGTTATAATTTGATAATGTTTATATTAAATTTGGTATGCATGATACTTTTTTTTTTTGGGTATTTGTTTGAATTGGGAAAACTATGAAATTGTTCATAATAAGGGATTGTTAGGTAGGATTGTTTTGTCATAAAAAAAAAAGAAAAGAATTAAGGGATTGTTTGATATTTGTTGATATTCTCTCTGTGGATTGCATACTGTTGCATTGCTTTACATACCATGTCAAATGCTAAGGTTAAGGTTTTGGTGGGTGGTTAACAATTCACGTTGTTTGGAGATGAAATATAGACTAAGAAATTGTTTTGCAATTATGGCGTCCCGTGCTGAAAGGCTGGGAATTGACATTTGTAATCACGTTTTTGGAAATCGGTTTCCCCATATGTAGGGATGCTGAATGGGTGAGACACAGGGAATGAAAGGAGAGGGAGACTGTAGTAGTAGTAGGATGATCATGGGATTGATTTTTTGAAATTTCGGAATTTTTTTTAATCTGAGGAAGTAATAGCAATGTGGCCTTTGTCTTTGATAGCATTAAGCTCTAAGAATTTTATGGACTCAAGTGTGACAGTTTTGACGAAAGAGAAAATTTAGGGATTAATGTTGTTGTTTGAATGTTGTTCCTGTTGAGAATTTTTGTTATGCTTTATGGGAAGCTACATGACTAACATTGGTAATCGAATTTAGGAGATTGTGGATTAAGGATGTTCTACGATGTGGTAAAGTTTATGAAAATGTCATTGAATGAAAGGTGCCATATCTAAAAGACTGTGATGTGAACTGTAGAGCAATCTAAGGAGTTTTGGCTTTGAATTTAGCACTTGTTGTCTTGATGGTAGATACTGAGGAACTGACTACTGCCTAGATCTTGTTTTGGCAAAGCTTCTTAAAGGTTTGACAACTACGAGAGCATGTAAAAATTATGAAGCTATTGTTAATTTATAGTGAGGTGCTTGTGGTAGTATTCAAAATGAATACCAATTGTAAGATTGGCATGTCAAGAAATAAATACAAGACTATGAGAAAATGTATTTATTATTGTACGGTTGTGCCCAGTAGCTGACTTTTGCTTGCTATAGTTTTTTCAATTAAGCTTTAATAAAATTGTGGAATCAAGCTACCTTTTGTCCACCAAGGTTTGGAGCAAATTATAGTACTACAAAATTACTTCTATTATGGAATATAGGATATGATGGAATATCAACAGAAGTAACCCTGTCCTGATAGATGTATATGAGATTTTTTTGTTGCACTGAAATTGTATGCTACAGTCATTCTTAGGAAAAATTGTCCAGTGAGAAGAAGCTGTAATCTCTCTCTCTTCTTTTATCCCTTTTGTTTTCTGTAAATGTGAACACGTCTTACATAATGTTTTAATATTTGTCGCTTACTGACTTTGCCATAATGATTGTTAATTCCATCTTAGGTTTCAGGTGATGCTGTCCCTTAAGGTTTAAGAAAATAAGTATAGGATTTGTCGTAGAAGAATTTGAAAAATAAAGATGGATGATAGAAATTTTAGGTGGAGACTTAAATATTGATGTAGGTTTTCTATAGGCAAGAGTTTATTTGAACAGATTTTTATTTGACAATGTATACCTTACACATATTACAGCTATTTCCACTTTATTCTAGTCACTGAAGCTGTTGAGAAGGAAATTATGAAAATATAAAATAAGTTTGGATGTGTGCTTTACTGCTCTCATTGAAATTTGGTAAGTTTCTGTGCTGGTATCTGATTTGAGGGCTTCATATTTGGTGATATTGGTGTATTTGCTGACTGCTGCCACGATAAAAGTTTTCTTGGGGATAAATGGTCTTAAGTACATAATGGTTGAATGTCTGGTCTCTCAAGTTAACATGCAGAATTGTCATAGGGATTGATATCTATTGCAAATTTTCACTTATGTCTATGACAAAAGCATTAGTGTAAGGCTGATGAGTGAAGATAGATTCTTCCTTTTCAATATTTCAGTCTTGCCTCTATGGTGCTCCTTGTGAATATTATTGCTTTTAATTTTATATAATTAACTTTTTGGCCAAATTTAGTCTAAGATCCATTCTTAGAAATTGCTTCCAGTGCATAGCAAATTCTGTTTTGTTTTAGAGCATTGTATTATTACAAGATAACACCTCTTTCCTTTGTTTAATGGGTCATGGCCTCATGGGTGTCTCCATTGAATGCTAAATAGTCTCTCATTTGCCAAACTTCTTGTTTTTGCATGGAAATATGCTAATATTATTAGCTGCTTGCTTTTGTAATACTGTACTGTATAATATAACATACTTTGTACCTGTTAATTTTTTAGTCTTCAAGTTTCTAGACGCCCTTGTTACATTAGAATTGAGATACGATTGTGGTGAATTGTTGTCTTGTTTCCCTACCATGTGGTCATTATTCTTCCTCTGTAGCTTTAAAATTAATAAAATTCTATGGAGGTAATTTTTATGATGCATAATTTTGGCAGATTAGTGAAAGGGAGAGAACATGAGTTGCTTTGGCTGTTTTGGAGGAGATGCAGCCCATAGACATTCAGACAATGGAGGTGGTTATATTCCCAGAACTCTAGCAGGTATTTTAGTTCATGCTGACTGCTTGTGTTTTGTATAATATGATGCCTTGTATGCATATAGCTGAGAACAACTGAAATAGTATCTCTGTTAAGCTTGCTCAATTTCACCCTCACCTTTTAATTGAATAAAATAAAGGAAACAGTTATTGAGAGTTTTCTCTGTCTTATTGCTATTTTTTCACTCAGTTGAGCTTGCTGGTCTTGAATCTCTCAATTTGCTTTTCTCAACTCACCCTAACCCACAGTTGTCAGTGATTACTTAATATCTTAAATGTATCATAATGAAAAGAACTGTAATGCTAGAATTCTGTGAGCAGTTATACGTTTATACCCCCTTTTTTTATTTATTTATTTTTATTTTTAATACATGCACATATGTGTGCCTGTCTGTGTATGTTTGAAGTTCTTGATGATAGAAAATCTGATTTATTGTCTTAAGTTTGGGCCACCAGGCATCTTTGGTTTATTTTCTTCATCATATGCTGTTTTCTCAGTTTATATGTATTAAATTCAAATTTTTGTAGGGAGAGATGGAAATTATCAGTTAGTTGATAATGCACCTAGCAAGCCACCAGTGAAAGTTCAGCCTATAGCTGTCCCTAAAATTTCTGTGGAAGAACTAAGAGAAGTTACAGAGAACTATGGTTCCAATGCTTTAATAGGGGAGGGCTCATATGGCAGAGTGTACTATGGGGTGCTTAAAAATGGGCGTGCAGCCGCTATAAAAAAACTGGATGCCAGCAAACAACCAGATGACGAATTTTTAGCTCAGGTTTAAAACTCCCAGAATCATATTGAAAATTTGGACCTGCTATAGTGCTATTTTGAACATTATAACACTGGGGTGCTTATTTAACCTTTTTATTTGCAGGTTTCGATGGTTTCAAGGCTAAAACATGAAAATTTTGTTGAATTGCTTGGTTATTGTGTTGATGGTAACCTACGTATTCTTGCATATGAGTTTGCATCAAATGGATCTCTTCATGACATTCTTCACGGTAAGCTGTATTCTGAATTGTCAATATTTTTTTATTTACCATTGTCCCTTTTCTCTTATTACTACTGCCTTATGTCCAGACTGATTGGTTTTTTCTTTATGTAAGAAATTTTTGGCCTTATCTAAGCCTTGGACTTTTTACCTTTTGCTGCTTATGAATTATGATTAAGGTGGAAGATAAGTATGATGCTTTCTCATCATTTTGTGTAAGTACTGAGGGCTACTGATAGATACCAATTGTATACTTACTGCATTTGGTCATTATATGGTGATATGTGGTCCTTTTTTCATTAGTTGCTTCAATATCTTAGTACTGCATTGTTTCACTTTGTGAGTTTGAATGCTCAATTGCTCAGTGCATATTGGTGAGTATGTACTTGTAGTTTAGCTAATGAACCTGGAAATGTGTTTTCAGACCTTTTGTTTTTTTAGGAAGTGATAATTTGTTTTCGTCAATATTTACGTACTGCTGTTATAAATCTAGGGAGGAAGGGTGTCAAAGGAGCACAACCTGGGCCTGTTCTGTCGTGGACACAACGTGTTAAAATTGCAGTAGGTGCTGCTAGGGGACTTGAGTTTTTGCATGAGAAAGCTGCTCCCCCCATTTTTCACCGTGATATCAAGTCTAGTAATATACTGCTCTTTGATGATGATGTTGCTAAGATTGGTGATTTTGACCTGTCAAATCAAGCTCCAGATATGGCAGCACGACTTCATTCGACAAGAGTTCTTGGAACTTTTGGTTACCATGCACCTGAGTAAGGACTTCAAACTCCTTTTTTTTCTTCTATGTTGGGGAATTTTATTACCACAGTATGACTATCAAAATGGTCTATTTCATGTAAAATATTATACTAGGGCACACATATGCGATATGGATTGGAATGGTTACTTCAAAGTATTAGACTAAACCCCTTGACACCCTGTATATGAATGAATGGCCAAGGATGGTTACTATAATCAAAGTATTATAGTGTATGCATGGCCAAGGATAGTTTTGATAGTAGCATATTCTCCTGATAGTTCTGTTAATCGGTTAATCCCCTTGACACCCTGCATTAAACTAACATGGTGTAAAGTGGGATGGTTACTTACATTAGAGTATTAAGCTGATATAGTAATAGTATATGAATGACCAAAGATAGTTCTGAACACTGAAATAATTTTCTGGTAGTTCCGTACTTCTGTGACTTAATCCCCATGACACCCTGCATTAGATTAACTTGGTGTGGATTGTGATGGTTTCTTAAATTATAGTATAAGTGTATGAATTGCCAAGGATAGTTTTTACACTGGTGTAGTCTTCTGGTTCTGTGACTTTATCACCTTGAATATTTTGTAGAGCTGAAACAATGTTGACAGAAGACCTAGTATTCATAGAGCCTCACAACACACACCACTGGAGGGGTGGTATTATGGGCCTTGACTCCTTAGTCCTCATAACGACATCCCTTTTTCTCCCTTCTTTTTTATTTGGTTTTCTTTAATATTTTAGGAGCTACATTATCTGTTTTTTCTTTCAGCAAACAGGGCCCCTTGAAATCTAAATACCCTAATAGTTGTATGGCCTTAGTGTGCGGATATTTTTTATCTGCTTTTATGGCAGTGACGCAGTGTACATCATATGCTTTCTAGAGTCTAGACCTTTATTGACTTTTGACTTAATGTTCTTGGTAAGCCTCTTACTATTGCACCAAAGGTAATATCTGCTTATTCCTTATAAGTAGTGATGATGGTTATTGGTCGCCTGACTTGGTGCTGGTACGTAAGTTAATATTCCAGGATTTTATCTCCACTTTATCACCAAAAAATCTCTGAAGGGAGTATTATTAAACTTATGTTCAACAAGGTCAATCTTTACAGTCATAGAAACATCTGAAGATTCTGAACACTGACGGCTTGATGATTAAGCAAACAGTCTCCTCTTTAGTCATAGAATGGAGTGCCTTCAGATTTATTTAGCTTCCTCTATCTAGTTATAAGATTCACTCTCCAACTATTTCGCCTATAATCTGATCATTGTTCACGTCCTTAGGTATGCAATGACGGGGCAGCTTAATGCCAAGAGTGATGTATACAGTTTTGGCGTTGTCTTGCTTGAGCTTCTCACTGGTCGGAAGCCTGTTGATCATACCTTACCTCGTGGACAGCAAAGTCTGGTGACATGGGTACTTATTATTTTGCTCTGTTCTCTGATTTTTCTAGTACAGATAACTAGGCTTTACTCCTAATTTATGCATAAATTTTATGATGTCAGGCTACACCTAAACTCAGTGAAGACAAAGTCAAGCAGTGTGTTGATCCGAGACTCAATGGAGAGTATCCTGCCAAAGCTGTTGCAAAGGTATACGTCTTTCATACCTGGATTAGGCTTGGCTAACAGTTGGTGGTTGTTGAATGACATGCTTTCTTTCTGTGCATGTTAATTTTTTCTGACAAATGAATTAGTACAAGAATCTATGCTAATACATTGAATCATTATGCAGATGGCTGCAGTTGCTGCATTGTGTGTACAGTATGAATCTGATTTTCGGCCAAACATGAGCATCGTTGTCAAGGCACTCCAACCTTTGTTAAATGCTGCGCGGCATGTTGCCAGCCATGATGTTCCAAGCTCATGAACATTTGATCTCTCCTTCCCTGCCATTTGTCCGTCTCAATATGTGGCTATGGTTTTTGGTAATGCAAAGTATACAGAGACATTAATTTTCTGGACTAAAGAAAAATTATTTTAGCTTGTGCAGTGCTCACTTTTGGTTGATAAGCTGTAATTTTGGTTTGCTCATAGTGTGGCTATTGATTTATTTTGTGGTCTGGATGTTGGTGTCGCATTTTTCCAGCTCATACACTTCGGTTGAATGAAATTATAGCTGTTTATCATTGAAGTACATATATTCTTCGTATGTTATGTTAAACTCCTATGAAGCGAGGACTAATTCATTATTTGTACATTTTTTTATCGCTCAGTACAAGTAGAAAGACTAGGTCATTTTTCTAGCAGCAACTGCCAGGTTGTGAGCCCCTAAATAATCTCCTGTCTAGTGTTTACCTTATTTACGGAGTACATTTCAAATAAAAAGTTTATATGGTAAAATAGCCCTATATTCAGATGATAACCATCAGTCTATCATATACACTCTGTCCAGATTATTACTTTCCGCTCTATGGGAGGTAAGGATTGTAGTACATCTAAGACGTATAATTGTCGAGCAACCTTTTACGCCGATCCAATGGTGGTGTTGAAGCTGTTTCCACTCCATATGATGGTGATGCTATCGCCTTTTTACTCTGACACTGCATGAAGAGAAGAAAGTAAGTGCAATAGACATTTCATTTTTCTACCCTTTGCCTTAATGGTGTTACAGCTGATACAGAAAGGGCTGACTACTTGACTTATAGCCATAATCTGCTGCCTAAAATAGCTTTCATTATGTTCGTGTTATATACTAATTGTGTATGTTTCAAATAAATAAATAAATAAATAAATACTAATTGTGTTAAAATTTAGAGAAAGGAGGTGGAAAAATATGCACTAAATGTTGGAATACATAATAATAGTTTATCCGTATCTTTTTAGTTGACACATTAATTTAGTCATGTTTGCCAATGAACAAATTCAACTTGTAATATCTTTAATTACCGATAATCATAAATAATAAAAAGTTGATATTTTGAAAATAAATATATTTTGTGTCAAATAAGTCTTCTCTCTTCACTCAGTCAAATTACATGCCAACACACATACATGCTTAAACACATAAGCTCACCCTTTTTTACTTTAATTACAACTGAATAAGGTATTTTTTATTTTTTTTTTATTTTTTTTTTTTGACAAAGATACAACTGAATAAGTTAATAAAGTATGATTGCCTTAATTACAAAGGCACTTGAGAGTAGAGAGGTGGGTAAGAAATCTCTACCTTCAAGTACCTTCATTTGGGAGGATTCGAATCCCAAACCCTTAAATAAGAGTCTTACCAAGTGAACCAACACTTTATTGGTTATAATACATTAATACTTGTATGTAAGTAGTATATTAGTACTTTGTACTTCCATACAAGATTACAAAAGTACCTTCATTAAAAAAAATTCTCTAACCAGTTCATTAATGAAATTTTAATCCTTTTCTATCTATTTCAATTCCCATCCTAATACTTTGCCCTTCTTGGTAACATTGTGTTGGAACTTGGGAATATATGGGGTATAACCTTATAACACTATAACCATATAACACTAAATCTATTCCTACTCTTTATTCCCAAATATGAGAAATAAATAGGAAAAATTGATTCTAATAATTCCACCTTTAACCGATTCGCCATTAATAATCTCACCTTTAGATTATTATTTAATAATTCCACCTTTGTAGGGGATCTTCTTCTATTGGTCTCTAACCTGTTGGTAACCTGTTTTCATAGGTTAATATGTCATGTGTCGTTTTTTAATTGGTTGAAAAATAAAACATAAAAAAAAAACAAAACTGAAAAACTAAAAAACTAAAAAACTAAAAAACAAAACTGAAAAAAATAAAAAACTAAACCCACCAGCCACCCTCACCCATGTGAACCCAAACGGTGGCCAAACCTTACCCTAGCCCCACCAAAAACCGACCGGCTGCCACCCAAAACCCCCGCAATTGGCCGGTCGAAACCACACATTACCGAAAACCACCCACGCCGACCAAAAGCAACCCCCAAAATCACCCCTGACCAGAATCCCACCCTCGAAAACCACCACAACCACCACCATAAAAACCCAACCCAGCCGCCAAAACCCCCCTTTTAACCGCCGAAAACCCCCTTTAACCGCCGAAAACCACCGTAAAACCCCGAAACTCTTACCCAAATTCAACCTCAAGCCATCCTTGAAGAAATTGATTCATTGATTTATTTTTTTTTAATTCATTGATATTAAGGGGTTCAATGGTTTTCGTGGGTGTGAGGGTTGGAATTGGGTCGGTTTTTTGTAGATAAGGGTGGGAATGGGTGGCTGTGGGGATGGGGGTTCGGCGGTGGAGGAGGGGCTGTCGGAGTTTGTTAGGGCTGGCTGGGTTTTCAAAAAGAAAAAATTAGTTTTTTTTTTTAAAAAAAAAAAAATTTATTTACCAATTTTTGACCAATTATTTAGTGACACATGTCACTCAAATTAAAAAAAAAAGTTTACCCAATGTTCAGGTTACTGGTCATAAGGGACCAATAGAAAATGATCCCCTATAACGGTGGGATTATTAATGGTGAATCGGTTAAAGGTGTGATTATTTTCCAAACAAATATGGGACTTTCCACCAATCCGGAATGAAAGTTCCATTCCCACTAAACTCCTAGGCCAGCCTCCCATAGTCTTACACTTCTACGTGTACTTCATCCATTTCGTAATAATCATAACACTTTTAATTTTCTAAACTAAGAAAGTACTAATTCACAAACATCAATGGCTTCTGAACTCCTAACCTTGATAATTTTATAAACCACTTACCTTGCTCATTTAATAGCTCAAGGGGTATATTTATAATTTTATATTTACTTTTTTTGGTTTATTATCATTTTATAATACAAATTTCTTTTTATTTTCATATTTACCCCTCGATAAGTTTATAGTGTTAGGAAAGGGAAGTTAGTGACTTAGGAGTTAGGAATTTCCCTTCTCAGTTCTCACTTTGGCTATCTCTCGAGCTTTTAACGATTCCCAGGTAATTTCAAGCCAATCTGTAGTACTTTTGCTTCTATATTTTATCTATTTTAATGATCAAAGTTATGCATTTTGTAATGGTATAACTCCGCATGTGACTATCGTCTGTGAATTGTGATACTACCTCCGTTAACTATTATTTGCAACAAATTCCTTTGTTGCAAATAATAGTTAACAGAGGTAGTATATCATTATACATTTATACTATAGTGTAGGGTTCATAGGATATGGAGTATGTTCTAGTTTCTTAATTGTCTAGTTTATTCATTTCAATTAGTATATATTTTTGAGGGGTTAGTTCAAAATCACAAGAAACAGGGGTATTCGGTGTTAATTTATGCAGTACTTACTTTAAAGTTGATTGATAAAATTGTGTTGATATTTGTTATGTAATAATAGTTGCAATGATGGTACTACAAATTTTATAGAAAGAGGGGTTTTGGACTTTTGGTGGTGGTGTTTGCAATTGGTGGTGGGTTGTGTAAGGATTTAGGAAATGGAAAAAAAAAAAAAAAAACCAAAAAAAAAGAGGTGTTGGTGGTGGTATCAATTAAGGGGCGGTGGTGCTCGAATTAAGGAAAAAATTAGGGAAAGATAAAAGAGATAAGTAGATAGGAGACTTAAGATGGTGTTTGGAGACGGTTGGCGGGTCTCGAAGGGGAGGGGTGGCTATGGTGTTTTAGGATTTGAGAGGAGAAAAGGGATAATGATTTATGACAAAGAAAAACCTAAGGGATAAGGAATCAAGTAATCAAGAAATGACAAAGAAAAATGTTAAACAAACAACCCCAATGGGAATAAAGTATGTTAATTCTCGTACCCACTACCTCAATCTAACAGCCCCTTAATGCGACTCGTAGAACTACTTGTAACCGGTGGCGGTGTATATATTGATTTGTGCCCTTTTCCTCTTTGTACTTCGCCTTTACCTTTGAATGCTTGATCCATAAGGTCTTTGTTGATGTTGTATCCAAAATTTGATAATTCTATTTATAAATCATTTTTATCTTTATTTTCTGTTTGAAATTACATCTCTTTGTAACCTTAGATCTTCAATTTGATTTGTTCAACTTGTAATATCCTTGGAATAATGGATGGTTTGGCTGAAAAAGTTGTTGATGGGGTTAGTGATTCTGGAGTTGTGGCTCTTGTATCAGGGGATGGCACTACTAATTCTGAGGTTTCAGGTCCTGAACTGGATGTCGTACCTGCTGGAATTGATATTGAGGGTCTTGATTCAGAAAGTGAGGTTCCCGTTCCTTCTATTCTCGAAACCCAGATTGACCTTGAAGGTCTTGACACTCCAGACCATGATGATTGGGAAAGTAATCTGGACATACAGCTCAATTCCCCCGACCTTCACTCTGTTTCTGATGGTATTATTTAAAATCCTAACCCACTATTTTTAGTGATTACTTAATAAACTATGATTAACCAATTGTTCATGAGTGCCTTGCTTTGGATGTTGTGAAAGCATTTGATTTCATAGCTTTAGAACTCTGATGATAGTCTTAAAGGTACTCTGTGTATCATGCTGAATAGAATAGGTCTGTGTGCTGTTAATACATATGCATGTCAGCATGTGTGCCTGTCTGTGTTTGATTTGAAGTTCTTGATGTCAGAAATCTTGATTTAATTGTGGTGACGCATCCTTGGTTTATTTTGATTTTCATATGCTGTTGGTTTCTGAGTTTTAAAAGTAAGAATTTATTAAATTTTGTAGGGAGAGATGGAAATGATCAGTTAGTTGATGATGAACCTAGCAATCCGCCAGTGGAAGTCCAGCCTATAGTTGTACTGCAAATTTCTGTGGATGAACTACGGGACGCTACAGAAAACTACAGCTCCAATGCTTTAATAGGGGAAGGCCCATATGGTAGCGTGTATTATGGTAAGCTTAAAAATGGGCGTGCAGCAGCTATAAAAAAACTGGATGCTAGCAAACAACCAGATGACGAATTTTTATCCCAGGTTTACAACCTTTGAAATCATATTGAAATTATTGATATACTAAAGTGCTATTTTTACCTAGAAAACTGAGGTGCTTATTTTATCGCTTTTTATTTGCAGGTTTCTTTGGTTTCAAGGCTAAAACATGAAAATTTCATTGAATTGCTTGGTTACTGTGTTGATGACAACCTACATATTCTTGCTTATGAGTTTGCGTCCAATGGAACTCTTCATGACATTCTTCACGGTAAGCTGGAATTTGTGGTGTTTGGAGCCTAGAGGCCTTTAATTTCCTTTAGTTTCAATTGTCCCTTTTTTCTTATTAGTTTGTGGTGTCTTTTGTCCAGATTGATTGATAGTTTCTTTATGCAAGAATTTTTTGGCCATATCTAAGCTTTGGGCTTTCTATCTTTTGGTTTTTATGAATAAGATGGATGAATTTCGATGCTTTTCACATCATCTCATGTAAGGACTAAGGACTACTAAATGATATTATTTGTTTACTTACTGCAGGTTTTCATTATATGGTGATACATGGTTCTTTTTTCACTAATTTGTTCGATATCTAATCGCTGCAAGAAACGTGAACTGTTAGCTGTTAATCTGTTATGCTATGTGAGTTTGAATAATCTGTGCATATTAGTGAAGTCCTTTTAATTTGATTTTATACTTGTAGTTAAGCCATTGAAACTGGTCATGTACTCATGTGTATTCAGAGAGACCTTTTGCTTTTATCTCTTGGAAGTGATAATTTGTTTTCGTCAGTTTTTACTTCTGTTATATTTTGTCTAGGGAAGAAGGGTGTTGAAGGAGCACAACCTGGGCCTGTGTTGTCGTGGGCACAACGTGTTAAAATTGCAGTAGGTGCTGCCAGGGGGCTTGAGTTTTTGCATGCGAAGGCAGCTTCCCCCGTTTTTCATCGTGATATTAAGTCTAGTAATATACTGCTCTTTGATGATGATGTTGCTAAGATTGGTGATTTTGATCTGTCACATAAAGCTTTGGATATGGAAGCACAACTTCATTCTTGTGGCTATCATGGACCAGAGTAAGGATTCTTTGCTCCTTATTTACCTCTATTTGGAAATACTCAGCATGTTCAGGAATTTCTTATAACCATAAATGACATTCAAAATGATTTTATTTCATCTTTCTGCAATCAAGGAAATATTATGGCTGACCATGGCACACTAATGTGGTGTGGAATGGAGTAGTTACTTAAATTAAAGTATCACACTAGTATAATAATAGTTTATGAATGGCCTTGGATAGTTTTAACACCGGACCACTGGCATATTCTTGTGGTAGTTCTGTGACTTAATTTTCTTGACAACTCTGCAGAGGCGAAACAACATAAATAACCCTAGTGTCTTGAGGGCCTCATGACACACGTTACTGGAGGGGTGTTTACGAAACTAGACTCTACTCTCTGGGAGTACTATTATGATTAGTCATAGGATGGAGTACCTTTAGATTTTATTAGGTTTCTATCCAATTAGAAGATTCACTCGAACTATTTTGCCTTCAATCTGATTATTGTTCATGTGGAATTGATTCATGTCCATAGGTATGAGATGACAGGGCAGCTTAATGGCAAAAGCGATGTGTACAGTTTTGGTGTTGTCTTGCTTGAGCTTCTCAGTGGTCGGAAACCTGTTGATTATACCTTACCTCGTGGACAGCAAAGTCTGGTGACATGGGTACTTGTTATTTTGCTCTGTTTAGTGGTATATTTTTGGTTCAAATGACTAGGATTTGCTCCTAACACAGTGCATATACTTTATGATGTCAGGCTAGACCCAAACTCAGTGAAGACAAAGTCGAGCAGTGTGTTGATCCGAGACTCGATGGAGAATATCGTGGCAGAGGTGTTGCCAAGGTTTGGATAATTCTTTCTTTTAGGTTTGGATACCAATTCGTTGGTGGTTGTTAAATGACATGCTCTCTCTTTGTTCAAGTAAATTTTGCTGACAAATGAAACAATACTAGAATCTATGCTAATACATTGGATCATTAATTCATTATGCAGATGGCTGCAATTGCTGAATTGTGCTTAAATCCTGAACCTGATTTTCGGGTAAACATGAGCATTGTTGTCATTGCACTCCAACCTTTGTTAAATGCTGCGCCATACATAGCCAGCCAGACATGTTAAGGTTTATGTGCAGTTGGGTTGGGACAAATGCCAGTCTTCCTTTTACTCTTTTTTTTTTTTTTTTTTTTTTTTTTTTTTGACCTCTGGAAAGATGTGTATTTGACTGTTTGAGTAGCATGGGTCAACACTCAAAAGGCAACCTCATCTTTGAGCTATCTGTAATTCTGTAAAGGGTTGTTTTGGGTTTGTTGTACTGTATTGGTTAGACGGTTATTTTTATACATGAGTGATCGGGTCGCAGAGGACCCTTGGCGTGCAAGGGAAGTTACTAGGCGTAATCCTAGTCTAATCAGGGTAAGCCATACCATTTTAATGTTTTTTCAGTAGTCCTACACTGTTTTACTAGTCCTTAAGGATTGGATTTTACGTGTAGGAAAAAATAAGTATATTATCATAAGGAGTCCTAGTCTAATTAGGTTATACTAAGCGCCTTGGGATGTGTATTTGTGTTTGATTGAGATTAATAAATTAAAGTTTTGTAATAAAATCTACGAAAGTAGGTGAGATGCTTATTAGTCCAGCCTGGTGTAATAAGTCAATTGCTTATTTATTTATATTGTTTTTGTAGATGTTATTTGCTCTGGGAATATGTGGGTGTATGAAGATTATGATAGTGTTCCTCGAGCACAATTAATAATTGCACATAGATATAATCATATGATTCATATGCTTGATATGTGGCATTGTGGCAGTATATTGATTTTTGAAGAATAAGGTTGAACAAGTAGCAATTAATAGTGTGTTTGGATTAAGAAAGGGGACGGAAAAGAAGGGGAGGGAGGAGAAGAGGGGAGGGAAGAATGATGAGTTTTCCTTTCAATTATCTCCATTGATGGAGGGATCAATTTCTAACAATTTAATCTCTCAATTTTGCTCCTTTTCAATTCTCCTTGTTCCTCATTTGTTATCCAAATGAAAGATATCTCATATTTCCATTTCACTTCTCTTCTTGTCCCTCTATTTCCTTCAATCCAAACACACCTTAAATTTACAACATGTTTTTGAGATTTTAAGCTAATTGATTGCTTAAGTTAATTAAGGGTTTGGTTACGTGTTGGTATTATAACTAAGATTTAACCTATTAAACCAGATAAGATAATATGCATGTAAGTATTTCAGCTAATGGTTCTCATAACATATATGGTATTACTTTGTATTTGCTATCATTAGTTTAAATCACTACTCTGTGTTCATTTAAAATATCACATATCATTTTTTGACACATATCATTTAAAATATCACATATCATTACTGGTTAGTCATAAACAATACATTAATTATATACATTCCAAATAATTGGCAAAGTTCATTTACTCAACATTATTATTTAGGAAAATTAGAGGATGAGATCAAATTACAATTATGATTTGGAAATTAGTTCCAACAAATATTTTAGATAAATATGCAATTTAGCACGTTTATGAAATAATTGAGTGTTGTTTCAAAAAAACAAAAAATGAAATAATTGAGTGTTGATATGATGCTGTCATTGGGCAATTGGCCTTTTTGAGCTGGAAAAGGCTTGTAATGGTGGCATGGCCTGCTCACTCGGGAGTCGGGACATTTCATATCTGACTAATCTGAGGCTCAGAGCAAATATAATGCACTAGATTTTAGATGTAGGCCCTGTATATGGGACGCTACCACAAGTCCTTCACAAAATAAACGTGCTGTAGTCTTGTTACTTAATAGTCAAAATCAATTCTATATTATTATTGTCGTCTATCATAGTACATTAACCAATAATATGAATTATTTACCAGTAAAGTGCTAGCTCACTTGGTAAGTTTCTTATCTCATAATAGATCATATGAGTTTGGGTTCGAATCTTAGGGTTTGTTCTCATTGACTGAACTAAACTGAATATTTTATAAGAGAAGGAAATTAGGAGCTGAATTAAACTGAACTGAATTGAATTGAATTTCAACGTATGAGAACAGACCCTTAGTGAGGGTGCTTTGGGTGAGGTTAGGATTTCTTAACCCTTCCCTCTATTTCGAGTGATTGGCTCGCAAATACTGAACCAAAAAAACCGTGATGGTTGAACTCTAATCAGAGTCTTCCTTACCTTACTTTCGTTTAGAAATCCTATCTTTAATAATCAACATATTTATGCATTTGATGCATATTATCATGAGGAAGTATATTGCATTGCATTCTAAATTTTGGATAAAAGAGGCACTATGATAGGTAAAACTGAGGTGAGATGACTAGATATCACAAATTTGGCGGTGTGAGCGATCATGGGAGTTACTTCGTTAGTGTTATAGGAGAAGTATTATGGTTATGAATCTTATGAGATAGTTGGCTAGACTAGTTAGCTGGTTCTCCGACTTTCAGACGTGAGATCAAGTTCAAATCTCTCTAAGCTCATTCTCCTCTTAGGATGAAGCTTTTCCTTACTAATTATAATAATAATAATATTTAGGAGAAGTATTATACACATACCCTTAGCTTGCTTGAGGATTAACCTTGTTGCACTTGAAAATTGATATGATTGAAATATTCACTTATAGATGCGGATCTTGACCGAAAATATTTGAGGGGATGTGATTTAAATATTTTATCTCTTGCTCAAAACTATTCACTATACCCTATATATATATTTTATAAGTAAATATAAGTTATTTAAATTCATTAATGAATTAATTACAATAATTTACAGGAGGCCTGACCCCAAATGGCTCCGGTGGAAGGTCCCCTTTGCTTATAGCACGCATGTGATATGGACCAGCTTAGTTGATATTGTTATTTCAAGGTAGTAGACTAAGCTAGTATTGGTGAGAGTTGAGTAAATACTCATCCTAACAATTTCATACAAAGAATTGTGCATTGTTTATTTTACTTTAGATAGATGAATAGAATGAACACAATAGGAGAAGGGGATGGGTAAATTGATTTGTTGAACTTGCTTGAACTTGGATTGAGTAGTAAGATTAAGGAAAATATGTTGTGTTATAATGAGTAGTAAAGAAGTCAGGATTACGTGAAATTGACTATAAACACTTAAATATAAAAGTATTGCAGAATATAACAAGTCACAAGGCAATCTATTAAGGGGGTGTTTGGTTCATTATATTAGAATGGATTGAAATGGAATCTCATAATATAATAGAGGGTTATGGATTTTAAAATCCATACTAACCTAAAGTTGTTTGGTTTAATGTTTGAATGGATTGTATTCTTCATTAATAGAATGGATTGTGAATCTTAAAGGAAAAGGCGGGTATGAGATTTTATAGGTGTGGGATGGAATTGGAATCACTCGGGTACGAGATTCTATTACTAAAAAAAACTCAACCAAACAAAAAAAATAGAAGGAATGGATTCTAATCCCATTCCAATCCATTCCAAGCAAAAGAAGGTGAATTTTGAATCCTTCCATTTCCTCTAGTTCTACTCCTTATTGACCTATTTATTATAATATCTAATTAAATGTTATTTTCTTTACCCTTAAAAAACTTAAACATTGTAGTATTATTACTCCTTTTGTTTTTAAATATTGTAAAAATTTTCCAAATAAAGAAATAGATCAAGTATTTAAAAACGGTTGGAAATGGAAAGTGATTCAAGTATTTAAAAACGAAGAGAGTAAAAATTTGATGTACTTGTGTAGTTTTGTTTTTCCTGTAAGCAAGTCAAATGATTTTTTCGTGAAGGGTGGATTCATTTATATAGAAAACCGTTGAAGCTTACAAATTGACGTTTATCTCCTATAATTTAGGAATGATCAGCGATCATCACAGTCGTAGTCATCAAAAATTTTGTTCTATTGAAACCTCATATTTAATTCAATTACCTAGCGACATTCTTTAAACCCGAACTCGAAAAATTTATTCATCCAAATCCAACACAAAAAATGAGTTAAATCTTTACTTAAATGACATTCATTTCAAAACTCCAAGATAGAAAATCCTCTCAAAAATACTACGTATGAGAGGAGGAAGCACATACCGCCGTTATATAATTGGTCCAAAATGTCCCCAAAATTTCCAATCAATACAAAAATTAAAATAGAAACACGTGTAAATTACATTTCACTTTCAATTACTAGCAACTTCAAGCAATTTCCTTTTTTCCCGGCAGAACTAAGAAATTAACCCCAAATTTGTGAATCAACTCTCTACACGCTTTTCTTTCTCTCTCCTCCTTTGAAAAAAGTGGAAAACAAACCTTCAAAGTTTTCCAAAAAATTATAATTAAAACTCTTAAGCAAAGAAAAATACTCAATTACTCAAAGTATCTTCTTGTTCCTTCTTTCTTTCTTTTTCTTTTCTTTCTAGTCTTTGGTAGACTACTCTTGTTACATATAAAATCTTGTTCAAATTCCTAGATTATTGGACCTTCTAATTCATTAATTAATACAAATACAGAAGTAATTAATTGATTTATTAATACTTCTGTAGTTACTAATTTTTGAGTGATGGCCACTTTAACTGCCTCTATGTTACTGCCATCAAAGCTCAAACCTTCATTTCCTGAGGATAAATCCTCTATTTTTAATTTCAAAAGTAGCAGATCTTCTTCATCCAAAAGAAGCCAATCTCTTTCCCCTGTAAGTAACTCTATCTATTTATTATTTGAGTCGGGTTTTGGAATTAATTGTCACGTTGATGGTATAATTTGAACAAATAACGTGACAACTGATTCCGGACCGTGGGATTATATATGGCCACATGGGTATTGATTAGTTTATTTTTTTGGTGGATGATTGAGATTAGGTGATGAGATTATTTGGGCCAGCAATATTTGAAGCATCAAAATTGAAGGTATTGTTTTTAGGAGTTGATAAAGAGAAACACCCAAAGTTGCCAAGAACTTATACTCTCACTCATAGTGATATCACCTCCAAACTCACTTTGGCTATCTCTCAAACTATTAACAATTCCCAGGTAAAATCTAATTTCAATTCTTTTTATTTCAACCATTTTATAATTTTATTATATTTAAAAGATATTAATGATCACTGTTATGATTCGGTAAAAGTAAAAAGCGACACGTAACTAATTAACTATTATTCTTGAGCACATGAGTTTTTCTAGGTTAGGTAGAATAAATTTAGTTTCTTAATAGTCTAGTTTATTCATTGAATTAGTATTTTTTGAATAAATCAGGGGAAACAGGGGAATTTAATTTAATTTGGTGTTAATTATGATTTTTTTTTGTTTGATTAATAAAAGTGTTAATATTTGTTTTTTTTTGTTAATAGTTGCAAGGATGGTATAACAAATTGTATAGAGATGAAGTGGTGGCAGAATGGAAGAAAGTAAAAGGGAAGATGTCACTACATGTTCATTGTCACATAAGTGGTGGTCATTTCCTATTAGATTTGTGTGCTCCTTTGCGTTACTACATCTTTTGCAAGGAACTCCCTGTGGTAAGATAATTACTCTGTCTTCCTTCCTCTTATTTTGCGAGGATGTTTTAAGTGAGATCGTCTCATACTAATACTAATTAATAGTCGTACTCATACATACTTCTACTCTTTTGAAAAATTAATGTACATTCAATTAGGTTTTAAATGAGATCATTTCAAAACGTGGTATAGAAAGAGTCACTTTATTAGTCTAATCTCAAGTCTTATGCTGCTAATTAGGCGACTGGCTTTTCAATTTGCTAAGGATAGGGCAATAGGGGCGTTAGACAAACTTGTTAAGTTATTATACGGAATATTTTTTCAATTTGATCAAATCATATCTGAAATAGATTTTGATATTTGAAAAATAAGAACAAATTTTTGCCAAAAAAAGAAAAATATAAACAAATGACATTTGTTACGTATCTAATAGCCTATTAATAACATTAGGTTAGAGTCTGACTAATAGTTCTTATAATCAAGTGTTGACGGTTGAAGAAGGCTATTCAATGTTTGTTTGATTGACATAATGCAAGGAAAATGAAGAGTGAAAACCTCTTTGTAATTATAGGAAGCAAGAATTAGAAGTTATTTGGTTCACAACACCTTAAGTAGTTTCACAACATTTTACTTTTTCTAAAAAGGAGAATGTTAATTAGCTTACTTTATATAAGTGAAATTTATCTCTCATATTTAACCAAATAACATTTATACTCCTTATTAGTTATTACTTGTAAAATAAATCTCCATGAAAGTAACAACTTTCAATAGTATCTTAATTCTTTCCATGTTCAAATAAACTAGCATTTGTTCATCCTAAACCCAAAAATAGTTAATTTCCCATGTGCAAAAATATTGAACAGAAAAGTATTGACGAGTACTTGAGTAGTGAGTACATTGTCAAGAACCCACTTCCATATTTGAACATCTGAGATTTTTATTTGTGGTCATCTTCAAAACTAGCCTCATATTTTTATTTTTATTTCCTTTTTTTCATCTTTTTTCTATTTGAGAGTGGGCCTACATTTTAGAAATAATTTTTCTTACTTGTATAGAAGACATTTGCTTGTGAGAAGAATACCAAATACGTGAAATACCTAATGATGCAATGTACGGAGTAATTATTAATTGAAATTAAGGAATGAGCTGCTACAAAAATCATCAATGTACTCCGTACATTATTTATCAACGAATGCACGTAAATTGGAGAGTTTGATTACATATAACTGATATAAGTTGAAGTAAACTACCACAAATGCTTTTGTGCACAAAATCGTTATTCAATTTCAATATAGTTTCCTTTGAGATAATGGAGACTCTGATTAAATTGTTCATTTCTTGCATTTGAGAGTAAGTGAGCTAATAAAGTTGCACTCTTGAATAATAATTTAAGATGTGACACCTACCTCTACCCCATATTAGGAGAAATAATTAACCATAATTATTGTTAGGTTACGTACAGGAGTTACAATGCTAGATTTAAAGAGTATTAACTATTGCATTAGGGTCATACAATATGATGAATGCAACTTTGTCTGATCCGGAAATGGAACAACAATAATACTCGTATTTGTACTTTGTTTGAAAACCCTTATTTAAGCTTATTTGAATTTATTTTTGACACACGACAGCTGATTTTTAGTTTTGAATTAGACTACTACTGTATGAAACTGTTTATCAGAAGATATTTTTCCGAAAACCTTACTGTACATGAAAAGAATGGAGTATAAGAAAAAATAACATGAGTCCAAATATGTTGCTAAACAACATGAGATGTGGTGTTGAAATGGACAGGTACTGAATGCATTTGTGCATGGGGATGAAAATTTGTTCAACAACAACCCAGAACTACAAGAAGCAACTGTTTGGGTGTATTTCCATTCAAGCATCCCTGAGTTCAACAAATTCGAGTGCTGGGGCCCACTCAAGTACGCGCTGGACCCCACTTCGAAGAACACGAAGGAGATGATGATGATAAACAAGCAAGGTGACGACGATGATGATGAGGAGAAAGACGAAGAAGAGCCTTCAATTACAAGCAACTCGAAATGGGACATGTTAGAGCCTTGCACGGAACCATGTAGGTGTTGCTTTCCACCAACTAGTTTGATCCCTTGGACTCCTTCACTATCACATGAGCAACCTCAGCTAGATCAAGAACTTACCGGAGACGTCTCGATCCCCCCCACCGGGACCCGGTGATTGGTAAATATTGTATGCTTGGGTTGAAACAACACCAAATATATGATTACAACCATGATTTATTTTGTATATAACACATACAAGTAGAAAACTCAATTATCTTAGGTAATTTAATTGTACTTATATTAAATTTAGTGAAAATTCGGGTGGACAAAGGAGCTTCCTTGTATCGGATGATCTGATGTTGGAGGCTTGTATGTATTTGTGACCTTGTCAAGATCACCTCGCTCTCACTCCAATGTTAAGGGGTTGAAAGGATTGAATTCATGGACTTTAATTTTGTACATACACGTTGATTTGTTTTGGTGAACAACTGGTACGTGTAATATATATTGTGACTAATAGGAGTTATCTTGTTTAAATTAAAGACTCCTATTGTTACACAACACATAATATGGAGTATGCCACATTTGATTTTGGTTAGGGGAGAATTTTCAACAAGTTTAAGTTTGAATGTTATTTCTATAACTCATTAATTAAAGTTCTTAGATCTCTTATTTACCTATGTAAGTAATTAAGTACCGGTATTATGAGGAATATTATATTTTATTTTACTTAGAATTATGGAGTACAATTTTTTGCAACACATCAAATATTTTTATTTAATTTTTGTGATTTGTAATAGTTAGTGGCGAAACTAGGAATTTAGTATGCGTTCTATTCGCCCGATTTTACTTATCCGAACATATCTGAACTTACTAGTCTTTATTAGAACTTATTTTAGTTATAAATTAAATTTGATGAGTAGCCCTGATTAACCATTATCACAACTTATTTGAACTAATCTAAACTCATTTTTCCTAAACTTATATGAACTTTTTAACCCTTATTTGAATTTATTAACCCTGAAATAAGTGGAAATAAAGTGAACTGAACAGGGCCGGCCCTGTCGTGTTCACTTTATTTCCACTTATTTAAGGAAAAATAAGTTCAGAAAAGGGTTAATAAGTTCATATAAGATAAGTTCGGGAAAAATAAGTTCAAATAAGTTGTGATAAGGGTTAATCAAGGCTACTCAAGTTCAATTTATAGCTAAAATAAGTTCTTATAATGGCTAATAAATTTAGATAAGTTCATATAACCAAAAATTAAATGAATAGAACACACCAAAGTTTGGGGGTTTTGATATGGTAGACTATACTTCATTCAGAAAATGAAGATGTATTGATAATTTATTGTACAAAAAAATTTAGTTGAATTGTATACTATGATATCATCAATCAAAGATTCAATCAAGAGTTTTTTAATTCATGATAACCTATCAAATCAAAATAGACTATATATAAACCTAAAATTGTAAGGCAAAAACTAATGAGCGCCCCCGGGGCGTTAGATAAGAGAATGAAAGTGAAAATATTAGAGTAAAATTAACATTAATTACACCGAACGACGAGTGATTTTGTCATGCATTCATAACTTAATGCCATTTCAACCAATATAATTTTTCCTTATCTAACGCCCCGGGACGCTCGTTAGTAACATCCAAATTGTAATAATAATCATCAAGTTTAATCCGAAGTAATTGACAAATGACATTTAATAACGAGTAATGTCAAGAAGTGAAACTTCCCAAGTCTGTATTCATGTGACTATGTGAAACTTGTATAAGTTTATACACATCTAAATAAGAGGACTATAAAATAAACATACGGCCCATGTAAGCTATTTCAAAGTTAGCCTAAACCCAATATGTTCACTGCCCGTTAAGTTGAAGAGATGCAAACCACAAATTGTCCAACATTTATAAGCCTCTATTTATCTCCTTGATAAAGAGGGTGTTAATCAATGGCATAATGGTAAAATAAATTGAAAATAAAAAGAAAAAGGAAAAATAGATTTTAAAAATCTTATCTTTGCTTTAGGAGAATACTTTAAAGCTAAAGCTCCAACTCTTTATAATGGCCGTTACTTCACTTCCTTTCAAACAGGCGTATATGCGACACTAAAACTCTCTTCTTCTTCCCTCAAATTTCCAAATGAATCTATACTTAAGTGAGATTTTGAGACGAGCTTTTCTTACCCGCAGCAACACAAAGTTTCATATGTGGCTGGTCACACTGTGTGGCCGTGGTTACTTGGTCAGGGGTTACTCAATCAGTCAGAGATTACTCTATCAAAGGTTAATCGTTCAATCGGAGATTATTCGGTCGGAGGTTACTTGGTAAGTGGTTACCCAATCAGTGTTTTGGCGTATGTTAGCTGTCCACACTGAAAACACACTAGGTATTCACTTTTATTGGTTTATTATCCAATTATCAACTTATTATAACAAGTTAGCAAGGACACATGTCGAAAAATAAAAAAGAAAAGAATAACATGCGGCAATCCCTTTCTCAAGTTCCACCTATAGGGTTTTAGGTAATATAAGCGGAATTGCATGAATAATATTCATAAGTACCTAAACAGGATCTACAAGCATAACACATAAAGAACACATAATTTTACCTTTAAATCGTGATTCCATGTGTGATCAAGCAAGAACAATAGGAAAACTAGAACCCCGAACGTAATTCCTCCACTTTGTCCACGGGCATGAATTGAACATCCACTAATGCTAGTTAGTTGTGATTGAACCCTTTCAATCAACCTTCTATAGAGAGGAGAGGAACGAACTAACCACGAACAACAACCACCACCGTGCAATAGTAAGGGACCGACGACCGCACGGATGGGAGAGAGGAAAGGGGCGTGTGTGAGAAAGAGATATTAGGGTTAGGAAGTTTGGTTGCTTGCTTCACAATTCACTATATGGGTTAATTGTGCCTCATCATTAAAACCTAAGGAAGGACTCTATTTATAAATCCAATACATAATTAGATTCCATGTGAAGCTCAAACTCCTAATCCAATCCAATCTATTCTAGGTCTCTAGCCTTCCTACTCACATGACTTATCATTACCTCATTAGGCCCATTAATGGGCTTCATACTTGTTCAATCCAATACCCTTGTGTGTAACCTTATATAGGATCTATTTTATCGGAATTTGGACTATTTGACTAGTCCAAATATCATTTATCATATCTAGCAATAGACAATGACGACAAAAAAAAAATAAACTAATTATCTCCATAATATTGATCATTGATATATTTAGTAATTGCACTTGACAAAGACATAAATCCTTCTTCACCACCCCCAACAACCCCTCCCCGACCCCAAGCCTTGCCCCTCGGAAACCGAGCTCCTTTCCCACCTCCACCCCAGCCTCGAAATCGCCCCCCTTCCCAGCCCACCCATCAAAATCAGGCTCCCTCCCCACCCTCAAAACCGCCTCCACCTCCACCTGCCACCACTACCCTTGAAATCACCCCCACCCACCCCTAAACAACCCCTCCCTCCCCTTTACCCTCTTCTTCCCTAGCCCCAAATTCCCTTTTTCTAGCCCCAACACCCTATTATGTCCCCTTTACAAAGCCCTAAAATGCTACTCCCTTCTGACTCTGACACCACCTCTGTTGGGTACACCTTAGTTGCAAAGTTTTGGTAGCAAATGACAACTTTATCCCTAACTGTATGATTATAAAGTCAAATATACCCTTTGATATATCTCTCTCTTTATTTATAGTTTTATACCTAGGGAAGTTAAGAGTTATTTTTGAGGAGTTTTTTGTTTTTTGAATTAAAAAATTCACTTTTTTTTATTTATTTTTTAATTATAACATTATGACTAACACAAAGTTTTAAATAGTTAAGTTGTATTTGTTAAAATATTGAAGTGACTTTTTTTTTTTAAAATATAATCATTTACTTTATGTAGTAATACTACATTTGTTATTTTGCTAATATAATGTTCTTAATATTTGACATTTATTGTTTTTGCACAAGGATTAAAATAAATGAGAAAATTTTCAAAAAAAATAAAAAGAAAAAAAAAGAAAAAAAAGAGAAGGTACATAAAAAAGTGGATAAAATAAGAAAGATAGCATAAAAAGGTGGATGAATGCAAGAAAAATAGTACAATACTAAATTAGACTCGTGAGATACACGGATTTAAAAAATTATTAGAAAATGAAATAAATTGAATCTGTAATTTATTTCCCCGTAGCGTACATATTTATAAATTAGATCATAAAAATATATCATTCATTATAAATTACTAAGTAACAAAATATAAAATTAAAAGTCAATCTGATCTAACCAAACCATATGCATACTTATTAATTAGTTCATTTTGGTATAACAAACATTCATATTATTTGGACATGACTTCATAGCTAGGTTGCTTGCACAATCCTTAGTAAAACACACACAAATAACAGTGAAACCTTTAAAAAAAAATGATAAAAAAGTTGTAGTTACCTAAAATGTTTTAGCTCAATATCAATTTGTTTATTCCAAGTTTCCAACCAAAAAAAAAAAATTATTTATTTATTGACACAGTTAAAAGATTGAAATGAAAATGATTAAAATTAACCAATTTCTAAAAGAAAACTAAGAAAAATAAATGACATCTTAATTGCATTAGGCGGGAATTTTTTTTATGAGAGAGCAACATGTATACATTTTGAGGAGAGGATGATGTCAGCAAGGGCAAAGCTACATGGGGGGCGGGTGGAGGCCCGGCCCCCCATGGCCCAATTTTGTGGTTTATTATTTTAACTCTAGCCCCTATAAATATTTAGAATAAATAATATTCCTGTTACTCATTTGCATATATTAAAGGCTTGCTATAGTGGTTTGAATCTCATTGATTGGTGTTTAAGGTCCTAGGATCAAGCCTCCTAACTAACAAGACTAGTTTTTTTAATATTTTTTCAAATCCCAATTACGGAGAGCTTCGTCATCGTTGATTTGTTTCACTACTCAATCAGTAATTCTATTTTATTTTCTTAATTTTTTAAAATAATTTGTAAAATTCTTCTTTATGTTAATTGCTAAGGTTTAAGGATTAAATACGTACTAGGATTAGTTTATTAAAGTGTTAGTCGACCCCTAGTTATAGTTAATAGATGTTAAGAACGTTATGAAACAAAGATATTTTCCGTACTCCGTACATAATAAGTTTGGGCGGGAAATAAAGATTGTTCAAAAGCACAAAGAAATATCAAGACAAGAAGTGTTATTGTTTAAGCATAACTTGGCCTTACATTAATTTCGTCTTATCCTGAAACACAGCAGTTACAGCAGCAGCTCCTTTGCAGTAGACTGTAGACGCGAGTGATATGCGCGCTAAAGGGTGACATACAGTCATACACACACAGGCTGCTAGAATCTAGAAAGACTCTACTTGTAAGAGTCAGCCTTTAATTTTGTACTTGTATATTACACGATCAGCCACAAGGCCGCTAATATGGTTCCAAATTTAATATTTAGTATACTTAATCACATGCTTGCTTGGCTGTCTAATTGCACACTGCTGCATTTCTGCGACTCTGCGAGTGCAAGGTTCGTATTCTGCTACGCTGATTTTGTTCAGAGACATGTACAAATCTGCACAAGTTAATTA